TATTAATTAATACAACCATTACATTCATAAGAATCAACAGTAAATACTAATTACTGTCGGGAAATGTTCCCTTTTCTAAAAAAAATGGCCTGTTACTGTAATGCAAATATCAGATGCCTCGTTTGAGAATGACCTCTGCAAAGGCTATGGCGAATTGTGATCGTGCGAAAGTCAAAAGGCTTGTAAGAGGAGAACTTAAAAACTTGAGGCAATATTATAGAGAAGCGTAAGACGAACAATTAGAAAATATGAATAAGACTATACGTGTTAAATGACCGAACAGTGAGAAAAGGTATAGGAAAAAAGGACAAACAGAAATAGGACAAGGTGGGTATATGCAGATTTTTTACACTGGTTTACACCTATTAGTATTTCAGTATCTGAAGCTCACTTCTTCTAGATACCGTACATCTCCAGAGTGGGGAGGCAGTGTTCCGAGCGTTCCATTGGCTCTAAATTATTATTACCATTATTCATTTTGATTCTTTCTTTCTTTTCGAGCATTCTGGCATTATAACTCTGTTGCAATGTCCGTTGTGACTTCGTAAGGATTTGGTCCTTCAAACTGAATCTTTTCATGTCCCTCATCAAGTTATTCCTTGCGGCATGTGGAGACGCCTACTTCTACTTAAACGAACGATATCGTGTGTTGGGATCCCTCGATCAGCACCGTCATCAGACGTACAGAATCAAAAGCTTGTCAACTTCAATGAACCTAGCTATTCATCTCGATTGTTTTCGCAAGTTATAACTAGCATTTTCTAACTTATAATAAAACGTTGTTTCATGATAATAATTAACTTCAGTATAAATGGCTTAAGCGCAGAGACATTGAAACGAAGCTAACTTGCTATTCACTCGCCAATTGAGGAACCCTTGAGTTACGCCTTGAGTACGCCTTCGCCTGTAAATATTTCTAAAACAAAGAGTAATAAAGCAGAACGTAATCGTTCTTTTTTTAATAATAATAAAGAAAAAAATAATTGGTTCTCCTTCTTGGTGCCTATAACGTAGATAGGACGTCCATACGTTCCGCCCGAAAGGATCACCGTTAATATATTTGTCTCACGGCTACTCCGAAACAACGCGCGATGATCATTTGTGTACGTGTGTCATAAGGACTGACCGTAAGAATTTCCCCTCTCCTACACATTTTCCTTGTTATCGTATAGGTCATGGCAGGGTGCTGACCTGAATATACTCCCGCATATCGGACCAAAGAGCATTACTCAGCAAAATCAGTCGTCCTTAACCGTTGGGATAGGACATCGTATATATTGTCAATACACTCTGGCTGTGAATTGAGACGAAATAGGCAAGCGCACTTTGACAACATCGCATATTTACAAAATACAATGATAAGTTATAAACAGGTCCAGACTTTATCGTTAGCAGGTATAACATGCTCGATGCAGACGACGACGACGGCGACAATCGTTCAAAAATGAATAAGCAGATTTACTCTCACTGGCAAGTAAAAATGTTTAACTTGATAACCTCTTTTAGTCGTCACTGAACAGAATATTCTTGGTTATAGAAAAACAAATATATATATATATATATATATATATATATATATATGAAACAGGTTAACCCTGTTGGGTTTTTTTGGCGCAACGCGGTACGACCTTACTTATGTGCATTGTTTTTCTGATGCTGCTGTACTAAATCGATACGCTCAATGGCTGTTCCAGGCTAGCAGACAGGCAACTTAATGTCAAAATTCATATGCGTTCCTTGTTGTTGAAAGTTGTTTGATGTCCTTTTGGTCCATCAGCTTCTCGTAAGGCCTTCACGTCTCAAACATGTCAACCACCTTTCCGTGAACCTTTTGGTAGTCGCGAATCAACTGTTCGAACAACTAAAATGCACAAAGAACGAATAACGTTATCTAGATTTTGCTAATGTTTTTTGATGTCACTATAAGATTAGAGATTCATGCTATCGGCAGTTGCGATCCTTTACAACACAAAGGGCACCAGCTCGAAGATGCGATATGAAGTAGGAAGTTACGTGTACTTAAGTTAGAAGTAGTTACACAGTCAAGTCATCTTAGAAATCAGAGAACACCAAGTGACAGATCAAATACGGACCCCGTTTTGGATCTGCATACTAATGCTCAGGTTACCTGATACACAAAAGAAGCGAGGCATCTGAGATGTCCAAAATATATAAATTGTGATCGAATTAGGATATCTGAATTGTAATACGTCAATTCTCAATAAAAACAACGTCAACACGATACTGTTCATCTAATGTAAAGCTGATAAATAGAACCCTTCACGACAATGACCTTCAAAAACGGAATCTGTAACAAACTCTAATCGTTTACGTACTCCATAAATTCTTACTGCATTATCAATACGTATTTTACTTTCTTTTAAGGCACGTTCTACGTGACGCAACTTTAAGTAATCACGACGCGTTATTAGCGTCGCAGCTACTTCACTGGAACAGAACTACATTTTTTGTGCTGATGCGGAACAATTGAAAAAGCCTTAATTTTTAAAACAACTCTAGTTTTAAATCGCTATAAACAAATGCGTAAGGACATAGACGATGCACCTAAAATGTCCTAAAACGGTTTACGCTGGCCTGGGTAGCAGAGACATCGCTCCAGAATAGAATTTGCGAGGTATGTGTGTTTCTGCGAGCAAAATGTCTGAAACACCGGCACTACTAGGTGATATGTCAAATAACCCGACGATGTAAATTACGTTGTTTGTAGTAATTATCTATTAAATTATATTATGTAGTGCTTGATAACGTCAAACAATTGGTTGGTTTTGTAAAAGTATATTGATCTACTGTAGGTAATCGCGAGAGAGACGGTTACCCATGCCCACTGTGACTGTGACATTCTGACTGTATGGGAACATATAGGGATATTTTGGTTGTATTGTTTGTAGTAGCCCTTTGCAAAATCACGCCAAAGAAATTTAGATTACTATGCAGTTTTCCACCTGACGTGTTATTCAATCATAATTAAAATTTCAACTATTTCAATTAGTAGGGCAGGACAAACGTTTGGGCTTCCAAGTTATAGCCAGGAAAAATTTCCACAGACATAAAAAACGACACGACGTAAGGATTAGGACCAATAGGTGTGTAGTGTGCAGATGTTCTTCCCGGAGTGAATGACTATTAAATTAAATTGCACAGTGCTTGATAGCATCGAACTGACTGGTATTTGTGAAGACATCGTGGTCCACTGTAGTCGTGGGACCCTATAACAGATGGTTCTTGAGAAATGCGGGATCAGATGATGAGAACTTTTAGTAACACGAAAAAATGTCATGAAAGATAGCCCCTGAGACATTTTAAAAAATCAATTGTTATTAACCCTAAAAAAGAGAGAATGGAAAACGTCGAAAACAATAGTATCAGAATTCAGCCGCTACCATCACGATATCATTGGTTGTGCAAAGACAAGTTTCATCAAGATCACACTGTCTTTTGAATTTTTTTGCACCGTATAGTATAAAGTGCATCATAAACCTTTCCATGCAGCCAAAAGTACATGGTGGTAGGCTTAAATGTTGATCGCGTGCAGCTTTACGAACGGACTCATCTAAAATCGGTACTATTAGACAAAAGCTTGTCACAAGAAGGACGTACACAGACTTCGTAAGTTCTGTAGAGCTCGTTAGAGAGATACGTCCATGCAAACTAACAGACAGACTAACAAAAACTGACTTTGCATGGGTGGCAGGCACCCCGCTCCCTACGGCGCCACTCTGGCAGCTACTGCAAAAAATAGTATTTCGTTTTTAGAATCTGCGTGAAGAGCAGCTATTATTAAATCTGTTCATAGGCAGCAAATGCTACCAAGATGATCTTCGGTTGTCCCAAATCAACAGCGTACGACCTCGCAAATGCGCTTATGACTACATTAAAGGCAGGTTTGAGGTTTCGGTTGAGCTAAAAATAAAATCTGCAACTGAATCACTGCTGATCGACACCATGCGAAAAGACACTTCCGCCGATCGTCTTATTTCGGTTAGGTTGTGTGCGAAAATCTTTTACTATGAGTACGGATGCGACATTACTGATTATTTAGGAGGATTACACGTATATGTAATACGTTCTATAAATCAGACGAGCTGTCACCAGACCTGTGTTCAATAAAGTGTTGTGCGACCATGAATAGGGCAAGTGTTGAAAGAAAGGCCACACGTCTTTTAACAGAACGATGTACCAGCAAATGCAGGATTGGCTGCTCGAGGCGTTGAACATATTTCAGAATAGATATAGCCTAGGTTTGGGCCTGCTACGAGTGTTATGGAGTGAAGGTCCCTTGGCATGACAACGCCGATCCGTCCACTAGTGGTTTCAAATAAGCGTTAGTAGAGTTGCAATAATATCATTAGGAACGAATGAGCTGCCTAGACCCGAAATTAAAGCTGTCATCGGGGTGAAGAGAGCTTATACTGATTAGATATCACCATTAGGAAAGGCCCTTTTAACACAGGCCAAAAATATCTGTATGTGTCCAGATAATTCCAGAAACAATTCCTAAAAGAGCATAAGGTATCGACAAAGGTGTAAGCTTAATCTAGTGCCAGAGGTAAACTTTAAACAATGCGGATGGAAGGCTGTGCAAAGTTTGCCCTTAAGGCTAAGGATCGTGCTTATCGCCTTGTTTATTTTATTATCATTCTGCCTATTACTTTGACATTTTGTTGAATACCAACTATGTAGTCTTCTCTACATCCTAACAGCAAAGGTGCAACTATTTCCCTAATTTTCTTTTTCTGCACAGGTAAGCAATCGTAAATCTAATAGCAGCAATTTCGCTCGAGTGGTCGATCTGTGTCTGTCTTTACCTCAATTTCTTCAACCACCCATCGGGGAATTTCGGACCGTGGGCTGCTGGTTAAATTTAATGGCGCAGAGGGTGTTCGTCCGGTACCAGGTGTGTTCTCCTGCCCACCAGTTCCAGTGCACACCATTGCAGGTCGAGTATTTTCCTCACTGCTGATAGCCTGGGCACCTCTTTGGTCACTATTCGAGTCCTGTTTTTCACCCCTTTCCTTGTCTTGCTCAGCCATCGAACTAGACGTGGCTTCTGCTTTTTGCTTCAAGCCACTGTAACATCAGAAAACATGCGCGAAAGATAATTAAAAGAAATGTTGTCAATAAAAAAGATAGACACGGAAGAAAAGCTCAAATCTGACATCAGATCCCTATATGACATATGGATCCACGTTATTCCATTCAGAAGGTCTGTAGTGGATATTTGTTAAAGGTATATGAATACACGTGATTGGAATCATGAAGAGAAGTTCCGGGAAAAGAAATCTCGCGGACAGCTTTATGGGCAATGGATAAACAGTTCTAGAAATAACTAGACAGATTCTTCGGTTTAGATTCATCATGATGGGCAGAAATATGAGTACGAGAAAATTTAATTTTACGATGGTTTTGCAGAAGGGAATAGAGATTTGGTACCAGGTGCGTTCTTGGAAAACCTGATGTAGATACAGGGTTGTGCCTGAACAGAGGAACCAAAAGGGCATAAGTCAAACAGCTTTGCGGATTCTACGAGCCACGTGTGTATGCACATATATCTGTAAATGACGGTAATTCAGGTTTAATATAAGCGCAGCCGGTTCAGAATCGCGTGAAAATAATGTAGATCCGAATGATCTCGACAACAGTAGCATGATATCTACTGTTTCTATAGCTGACGCTAAGAACAGTAAAATGTGCTAAACACTTTTATTATTTGGTTATCTACTAACATGCAAAAGTAAATGTTCTGTAGATGTAATTAAAGGTACTGAATCGCTATAGTATATGATGGTGCAACAAAAAGAACCATATAATGTCCTGACCCACTGATTTCATCCTCATTTTGCGATATTATAATCTTTAAGCACAATGAATACTTTTTGAGCGTCGTTGATAACTAGCCACAATAGTGGCCTACAATGAGTTTTGTTTAATTATTAACGAACTTTGTATAATAGTTAGGTTGACAGTGTACCTTGAATGTCTACGATTAAAGAGATGAAAGAGAGCTGAAGGTCACTACATTTCAAACCCAAACAAAAAGACCCGGCCCGTACGCGCGGCTAACATTGATAGCAAGCTTGAGCCCTAAGATTTAGCTGGAATAGAACTCTTGATGTGTATGTTGGAACCAAGAAGTTTTTGGGGTTCTTTCTCTCAGTGTACGTTCTAGGGGCCCAATTTTATTCGGAGTAGAAATTCCTTGTTAACTACAGGAAAAAGTGCCTATCATGGGTTCCTCACTACTTGAAATGCACGGACTTATTTTCAAGTTCTCCCTAATTTGTCCTTGAAACAGCCCCTTCCAATGAGAGAAGTAGCGTTTCGGTCATTGCTTTTGTGAGTACCTTTTTAGACGTATTTTGCTTGTTGTGGGGCAAACTTCTAACGTTTAAGGATCAGCGAGATAGCTGTCCTTTCCGACTGATTTTTATTCCAGTGATGTGCAACGGTGCTGCCTACGTTTCTAGATACAACCTTTCTTTTGGTGCTTCTCTCTAGAACTGATTTGAACGTAGGTATGATAGGGGAAAAATTAGTAAGTTCGACAACAGCCGCTGTGCTAATTGCCATACTGTTGTTGTTTGTGTTCAAGAACGGTCAGAAGCTGCACTGTCATAACTTCTAAAACACTCCATTCTTCCAGCGTGATCCTTCCGTCATTGTGTTGTCTCAGTGCGTAGATCGGAAAAACGTGATCATTCCTCAAGCTGTTTTCGAGATTGCTCAGTCGTATATATTGACCTAGTATCTCATTTGTTTGAGTATCGGACCCAAAACGATCCTTTAGTATGGGCTGTATTTTTCCAAATCGATAGAGTTTCACATAGAGAAAAATCTGCACGGAAGACGTGGTCGACTGGACAAATTCTTTCCCCCAGTTTACATTATCTTATAGTAACCAGTCTTAATTTGGTTGGCGGGGTAAGCGTAAGCCGATAGCAGCAAGTTCATCATTCTGATTTTCCACGTTTGAAAAGAACGCCACACTAACGCTTATGAAGCGGCCATAAGCATGGTCCGGGTATATATACCATCAAATGTACAAATGAACTTTTTCTCAGGCGGTAATTTTTGCCGCGTCGAAAAGTTTGCTCAGGATTAGCTCTATAGGAGAACCGTCTTGAGATAAAGCCCACAAATCGCTTTCAGTCTTCTACTAATACTCTGTGTTCGCGTATTGGTTTGTGCGCCTATTTGACTCAAATCGACCATTTAAGACCGATCGGATTGGACTGATTTATGGTGGATCGCGAAACTTTCTTGAGAAAATCCGTACGAGGAATGGGTTTCTTTCCGTAAAGTATAATGATCATCTGAACCCATTAATCGTTTTTGCAGTTAACAACAACAATGACAACCGTTAAGAACGTGTTATTGATGCGGGAAGTTGTTTTTTGCCCAGACTCTACAAGATGGGCGCAATATAACATTCAAAGGATGGTATCCAGTTTCCCATATTTTTATTATTTAATATTAAAGTAATGATTGTCACCGAGGTGGTTTATAGTTCATGAAATATTGTTCATCTCAGTTAACTTCTTTATAGAATGCGAGTACTTTCTTTCGCAAAGGAAGAGGAGTAACGAAATGATTGATGCCATATGAATCATTTCGGCATATCTAGTCCATACTGTTTGCTTAGTGAATACTTTTTTTTCGAGAGGAACTTCCTGTTATGATGAAAGAGAATTCAGTTTCTTGTAACTTTCTCAGTAACTTGACGTTTCTTGACGATTTTCTCGATAACGGTCCGGATTTAGTGAAAAATTTATGTTGCTAGAGGCGTTGGTTCTCTACCCACTACAAAATGGGCGATGACAAGTCATTTTTAACGCCTCACCCTTTCCGAATTTACGAATTATGATTTTCACCTAGATGCGTCATAATAGATCTTCGCGGTTCATATTCTTATATTTTGCAATACTTTTTTTTACAAAAAGTCGGTTTTTTCTTCGATAGATAAATATGCGGCTGATTTGCTTGGTTTGTGAAATAGTTGTTAGAAATATGCACCGTTTCGATATGTATGATCCATATTCTTGAACTGAGTGAGGGCTAATAAAGTGGGGAATCCATCTGGCAAGAAAGGGTTAGACTGATTTTCCTACGGTCGGTATCGTTCCGCCTTGGGACGAGCAGTGCGGAAAATGTGTAAAATACTCGCAGAGGGCAACGTTTGGTTCTGTGTTGACCTTCGTGAACTGTTTGCCCACATCGCTTATACTATATCCGACAAATTAGTGTCACATCGAGCGCATCACAATGCTTAAAAAGCCTAATTACATGCGTAGCAATGCTAAGGCGCCGCTTTTCCTAGTGCCCTTGTTCGTCATTCGTCAGATTTGCCGTTATCCTTTTCTGTTTATCAAATTTCCTCCCAAACTCTCCCTCTCAGAAAAAAATTATTTCATCTCTCTCATTTTAACTGCAACATACTATGTGTGTACGTCTGTACGCACCGGTGTCTACCACAGGTACATCGCCTTCGACTTTGCAGGAGCGGTAGCTATAACTAGCATATGCCACTAATGTGAACGGCTTCAATCAGTCCTTTAAAGACATATAAAACCTCTCTAATGTAATAGCCAATGATGATTACCGAGTTCTTATGGGGAAGGCGGTGTAGCATCTCCTCAACATTTATAGCCGGCCCACTATACAATGCAGAATTCTGAGGGACAAGACGCGACGGCGCACAGTCGCACTTTGGCCAGTGCTTCACTGTAGTTATTTATGACGTGACATAAGCAATGGCCGCATACCGTTCGCTACCTTTCCGGGGGGGTCAACGGCTTGAGGATCGGTCAGACACGATCGGAAGAGTGTTCCAACTGTAAAGACCTTTACATAAATCAGAACATGCGGAAATTTGACAATGTCATCGCCTACCTAGCAATCAAAGGACAGAAGACTCCCGCATGTCCAAATATTCGACGAACAAAGCCCCAGCTACAAACATACGACAAATTTATGCAGATGAAAATCCAGAGTCCAGCGGAGGATCCAGAACGTCATGTATTAGTACTAAAGCCTAGTATAATTCACGGCCTGTTCGGCACAGTTAACCCTCCATGCATGGTAGACTATCAATGCTCAAAAAGATTCCCTAAGCCTAACCAGTAAGTGTATGCCGACAGCGCCTATCCAACATACAAGCATTGCTCCCCCAAACGGCTATAAAAAGGGGCCGCAGCATAAATCATGGCACAAGATGTCAATTCAGTTTTTTGTACAACGCCGACTTCCTGAAAGTCAACGAATGCTACTCTAGCGTATAAGTATACTTCGCTGTCAAATCGATTCTATACATTATGAAGTACAAGTTGAAGGACAGCGATGGGGCTATCGTTAAGGGTGATGAGATAGCCTGGTGCGGTAACGAGAAAAAGTACCGAGCTTTTCACTTCACGAATTCTTATTTCTCTGGATATCAACAGGCGAATTTTTTTGGCCACATGTATGATAGTAACCTCTGTTGGGGCGAAACCTATTAGTTGCGTCTTCTGCTCCACCATGTCTATATCCTACATTGTTCAACGCATTGAAAACAGCCGGCGCAGATCATCTCGCTACATTTAAGGGGGCCTGCATACCGAACGGGCCATTCTATCGCAATAAACACTAGTACCTGACGATCCCAGATGTCGATACCATCTTGCTGTCATAGGCAGCTCGAGATCTATTCGTTCTCACTTTAATAACAGGTGAACTAGTCGACCGGTAGAAAAATGCAATCGCTGATAGTTTCCTACACAATACACACGTGCCAACGCGAAATATGACACTTTTAATTACTTAACACTTACCACGACTTTAACCAGCGCAAACGAATAACTTTTAAATGTCGCCTAGAGGATAGTCCACAGAGATGTCTGCACCTGCTTAGAAACAAATCCAGGAAAAATGGTCTCCGTCGATAGAGCTGGTGGCAGAATCGTAATTTTCCCGCAAAAGTGCGCGTTGACGGAAAAAGCGTTTCCGGTAACTCCTTGAGGCCTCACTGCAACCTCGATTCTGGGCTGGCGCACTGCACAGTTTTGCTCTAAGATCCAGGGTACCGATAACACAGACGCTACGCAGTATTGATAAGAACTCGAAAACATCTTCTTTGTCCATTAGGACCACCTATTGCAAGGCACAATAGCTCCATAATTAAAGGCGGAGACGCGCGAAGGCGTCGATCGATCTCTTCGTAACATAAGCAGCACTAACGAAGCACTCGACGGAATCTCAACAATGTGCTACGGTGATTTCCGCCATCTGCTGCGTGCCCTCAGACGCGACACCGGTGATGATGCGTGCATCAGATATTCCCGCCTATGGAATGAGAGTGTTTGATTAAATTGAAAATCTGTAGAAGCGTTCCACGATACATAAGTTTCACGCGATATGCGCCGAACGCGCACCTCACAGCGGCTAAGGCCAACTCTTCTTATGTCCTATTAGACTTTGGGGAAGACAGATATCCGAAAGCTGTTAATAATGTAATTATTCTGCCCGCCAATATCGTTGTACAACGCCCGTGCATGGCACAATGCACTGATGAGATTTACACACCTCTTTTGTTCGGGACTCTAAGGGATACTTCTTCAACAACATGCGTATTAGCACTCAGTAATCGAATAATTAGAGATACTAACAACCGTTGCATGACTCTCTTTTTGAAAAGGCCACTGTGTACAATCAGGCCTCGGATGGCACCGGCTCGGCTCCTATATAATCTCAAAGTATACAGGCTTTCGCCACAAACTTTGTAATTCGAAAAAGGCACTGCAACTATCTTTATCAGAAGTTTTCCTTCAGAAGTAGAAGAAAATTATTTTTATTGACCTTCCGAATTATGCAGTAACACCAGAGTAATGATGCACGACCTACATCCATTTATCATTGGCTACAGGCCGATTCAAATAAGAGTGTGTTACTCCCACGAGTTCCTTATTTCTAGTCTCTCGTAAAACTCTAGTCTCTGGTCTAGTCTCTCTCTGACTTAACATTAAACCACAGCCAGCTTAGGACACGACTTTCCTTCGCAATGACTATCCACAAAGCATAAGACCAAAGTTTAAATCAACCTCTTATTTCTGTTAAACTCTACGTTGCTTATCGCCGGATTCGCGAATCGTCGTCTCTGATAAAATGGTCATATTGGATTGTAATTTTTTCAAGGATTTTCGGTTCAACTCATTTCTACTATAGAGAGGTGAAGTGATATTTCTTGCCGTTTATAATTCATAAAGTATCAATCATATTCTCAACACACAGATTCTATTCTTCATATGTGTGAATATCTTTTTCCCAGGGGACGCCTCCCTCCCATATAAAACGTAATACTAATTTGGATAATTTTCAAGATAGCTTATGAAGCATGAATCGATGCGCGGCGCTTTCAGAACTGGTACGTTAAAACTCGTAGCGCCTGTCTGCAACGCCGTTTGAAACCATGATTTATGCTCAATATGAGCCATACGGTCCATGCTTTTGACTCGGTTACATACTTTTTCCTTGATCTTTTCTGGAGCTGTCGTGTCGTTGGGAGCATCGTGGGAGTCTAAGCTAGGTAAGGCCTAGATACCCTCATGGGAACGACTGTGATATGTGGAGAATATTTCTATACCTCAGCGTGTTATGGGGCGACAAATCCAAAACGTAAACTTTCTTAGAGAAGATCTTCGAGAATCATGTCGTTGGTGGTGATACACAAAACATCTAAATAGTCTATTCTCCTTGTAGACAATCTTTTAATACCCGAGAAAGTGTTTTTTTCCTACCGAACAGAATTAAAAGTTAAACGGGCAAGCATGATGAGGAAGTCTGATCTGATAAGAAGATCTGATAAGGAAGTCCTAACTATTAACGCTATTCCGTGCAAATCTCGTTGAGTTAAATAGAGAACGATGTTTTTGTGAGGAATGCCCTTTGCCCATAAACTTAGGTTCGTGTCCGCTCAAGTCTGTCCAGTGCGCCAAAGTGCTTTGGCTTCTACCTGTAATTAAAGGCTTATTAATTCGTTATAGCCATCCATATTAGAAAAGTGTGCCTTATCTTTTTCAAGCAGGCTGTGCCCGTGATAGCTTTGTTGGTCGTGCATTTGCTTGCTAGTCTTAGAGGCACATTGTGTGGTCTAGGCTCAAACCCGGATATAGACAGACATACGGTTCGTTGCGTACTGGGAGCCAGCCATCTGACGGAATGCTTTACGGACTCAAAACACAGAAGTGGTTACAGAAATTGATAGCAGACTTGCATAGTATTTTTTTTTTGTAATTGCATGCAAATTTGAATATTTTTCGTTATACATCAGTATAAGAGGTACGTTCTTTTTAGTTTGCAATACACTTTTAAGGTGAGTGGTATATCTACATAAAACAGTAAACAGATTTGTAAATTAGTTGAATCAAGTTTGTTGAAGTATTTTTCTAATAATACTAAAGTGTACAATCAGGATGATTTGGTGTACTCTGAAGTAAGTGTTATTGCTGGCAAAAACAAATTATTTTGTTGTTTGGTATGGGTTACTGTTATCTCTAAGCTCTGACTTCGTTCACATATATAGCATATAGGTATATATAGGCTCACCTAAAGTTATTGGTCACATGTCCATCTTTTCCCTGCTGCTGTTGCCCTTGACCACTTCCGTATGGTTGCTGTTGTTTCCCGCTGCCCCCGAAGCGGCCTCTTTTTGAATCGAGAAGACTGCCAAACACCCGAAACGTACCCCTTCGTCCTTGTTTTGCGCCTAACGTGCGCGCTCCCGAGCTCTTCTCATCCGTGTCTGAATCTTCCACGTTTGAGCCTCCACCGCCACCGTGCTTGTCTATGTCAACCGAATGCGTGTCGATAATCATCAGTGGATCGTTGCAACCATTTGCAGTAGCCGTCACAAAAGATACAAGACACAGATAAAATAGCTAGGTTCGCGGACGGCAAGTATCGAACCCCTTAAACTAGCCGATTTTTCATCAAACTTATTTGTGAATTTACCTGTGTCGCTTTCGTGTTTAGCATGGAAGTGCAAAAATGACATTCAAAACAACAAAAACATCGTGCATCTTGCTTCGTAATTTTCCACGTTGTGAAACAATGTGGTTTATAGTATATATTAATACCATTTAACTTTGGTTCATTCTACTATTGTTCCTATCTATAAGGAACTTTTATTATTATAAGGTCTTATTGAAAAGGAACTACACCCTTTAGATATAGATTTTTCACTCTTTGTTAGTTTTACTATGAACTAATATTTAGAAACATGGAACGTTTCTAAACTGCTAGGAAATTCTCACGACCTTCGTATATATTCAAAACTGGTACAATAGCAATGACGCACATTGTCTGAAATTTGTGCTGCAAAGTTTTGAATCTTAGAAAAGAAAACAAAGAGAAAGTTAGAGCTCACGGTCAAAGTTCTGACCGTTGTTGCTGTTATTGTTATTATTACCGCTGCCATCCTTACTGCCACCGTTGGTGTTGGTGTCGTGGGGCTTCTTCCTTGGCCGGGGGCTCTGAATGAACTTGGCGGCGCGCACGCGCAGCGATCCACCCCCGATGCGTCGGGTCGAAGCTCGACCGCTCGTATTCTTACGCTCCGCCCATTGCTATTATAACACCAATGTCAGTGGCGTCCACAGCGATAATGAGTAGCAAAGCGATCAGGAAGAAACATGGTGACATCAGTACTGAGAATGTCATTATGATAGTATATAAATTCGTTATATCGGTTAAATAGGTTAGCAAAGTGGACTAGAAGCTTTGCTGTCATTATTTTCCGGAAATACTGAATGTTATATGGAATCGCTAGTATTGTTATGAGAGACTGTGGCTCATCTGCCATGTTATTATAATTGCCCTATTGCTCAAGAATTATGGTCGAAATCTGTAGACTGTTGATGACTTTAACGCCTGTTTTAGTTGAACCCGACCTGAATCAAGGGTGAACATTGCAGGATACGTTCGCAGAGGATGACCGCTAGACTGTCAAGCGCAATTCGAAATTCAAGGATCACGCCGGATATCTAATCATCGACGTGTTTCTGGCTAACGGGACGCTATATTCTCTAAAATAAACTACCCACCGCTAGAAGGTGAGGACGCTAAAAATATATATCTCCATTGCGATAGATTTTGTAGCGCGGAAGATCCTCGTCAGCAAAGCCTTACTTTACAATCTCGATCCAAAGAGGTTCTTTGGGTGGGTTCACTACGTTTTATTAGTATACAGTGTCATCAGTATGGAAGGTTACGCCTGTAAAGATTCGCCAGTGCGCCCGACCGCTCCTAGAAAGCTTTAGCACTTATATAATACCTTGTGTGACATTATTGCTCTCCAAAAAGATGATTGATGAAGAAGCTGCAACAAAGCGTGATTTACTTTGGCGTAAGCTTTCCAAATAGTAAGCTATACAGGCTATCGAGAACCTGCGGACCTAGACAGGGTATGCAGTGAGAACCTTAACAGCGTGCTCACTTTGGGCCCTTACGCGACGATGTGATCCGTAAAGAGAAAGGGATACCAACTGCCTCATTGTCATTGGCTAAACTGTTGACGAAGAGATTGTCCTCCCACTTGAAGAGCGCGGAAGCCATCTCGAAAGATGAATACGGGTTTTGAAGAGAGCGTTGCAGCGAGACAGCATCTACGACTTTTCTGAATAATATTAGGAAAATGTTCGACAGGCCACTAGATACGACGTACTAACTGTTCGTCGATTTCGAGGGTACATTTTATGCGGATCCCAGATACTGAATACTCTGATGTGTGTAAGTATCTTAAAGAAGGAACTTAATCTTAAATCTGTCTTCTTGTAGGTCAGTGCTTGAAAAACCCGTTCCCAGCTAGATCTCACGTGCACAACAACATCATAGTCCTATATAACCATATTTTTACCAGTATCATCATATTTTAATTTGGCTAGTTTAAAGTGGGCATTTTTTCCAAATAACGATTTTTTACCATAGTTGGACAAGAGACCACCTTAGCATCTGTTCACATGGTATTCAAGTATTTTTTACTGTTTGATTCTATGACTTGTTAGAGAGTTACACCTAAATGCTTTCACCATAAAACATACCTTTATGCATACAAATATAATCGATTATAATACTTACACATAGATTGGCCTACTGGCGATTGGTTTGTAAGTACACCCCTGGTAATAATACAATTTTGCTATTGTATTTCCATTTTAGTCGGACTTGGTATCTATATGCTTTATTATAATATAACGGTTTATTAGTGTGAATAGACACCTTCACAGAATTTTAAAATGTTGACCACTTTCTAACATGTGTACTTTTTGGGTATGAACCTAAAAGTATCTTACATCTATATTGAGAATGGTGGCCGGGTCGTATATGTGTTTGTAGACCTCTTCCATTTTCGAGTCCCAATTGCGTTTGGTCTTCTGGGCCTCTAGTTCTGTTTGACCAAGATTGCCCTCGAGGGTCTTGAGAGTTTCTGTCAATTCCTGAAGCTGTTCTTCGAACGCTGAGCGATCATTTCCTTCCTCGGGGATCGCTTTTGGTTGTGCTTTTTTTGTCCGCCTCAGCTGCTTTTGGATCGTCTCAAGCTGGAAATATGTTATAACAAGCTTACTGTGTATGGTTCATTTGTCTGTGGTTTGAATCTGATGCCAGACACTATATTTCAATACATTATATGTATAACTTGTCTCATCATTATTGTCAGTTAATTAGTTAGAACTTTACGTAATTGCATTACGCCGCTGTAAATATGCATGCTATTAAAGGGAAATTTCCATAAAATACGCATATCTGATGAAATCATAAACGCGAACGTTCGGGCACCCATTTATATATATAGATATATATATATATATATATAGACGTCAATCTCGTCCGTCTCCCCCGATGTTGATATTAAAGCAAGAACTAGCGGAATGTCAAGCAATAACAGTGTATGCGATGTTAAGTAATGGAAATTTGATGTTTGAAACAATGTCTATATTTCGTAACGTTTTGCTATCGAAATGGGAAATCAATTATAGAGCCGCTTCGCAAATGTCTCTCAAAATATAGACGACACGTCTTTTTGGCCAAAACAACATTAGGCTATTGCTCAAAACACTGAAACAAAAGTGACTCACTCACAGATGAAGGACAGTTCAGAAGAGCACGGATCGGATAAACTGTATAGATGCCGATCCAGAGACCTCAATAAGACGTTGTGTTCCATAACTCCGCTTTTCAACAAGCTGTCAGCGACAGAGTTTGAAGCACGAGTTGGAACGAAACAGACGCACTTTCTCAATATAAAAAGCAATCATTGGATAGAACAATCTTTGTTTTCAGCAAGAGGAGCCAACTTGTCCTACTGTGCGAAAATGGTTAACGCGACAATGACATTAAATGGCGGCCTCGAGTACCGTGCTTTAACTGCTCTTGATTTCTCTTCACTACGAAAAAATACACTGAACAAATCGAGCGTTGTTAAGGGTCCCTCTGAGGACATTTGGTGGGTACTGTTTCCCACATATAGCGCGGACTAAGGCCTCTAGAGTCAGTTAATGCAAGAGTGAAAACACGTCCAGATACTCACTCTTGAATTCTATTCTGTGACATTAAAATAGACTTCACACTTTTGACCCATCCTATTAATATGTATATATATTCCTAGGTGTTCTAAGATAACACGAAGGCATTAAGCGGTTAAGCAGAGAACGCGGTCCAGTCCGCCGCACTTTTGCACATACATCGTCTAACTCAGTAAATGCTCTAGCAGGAAATATAGTACAGCAAGAGCGCAGACTTAAAATTCAATGCACGCCACTTTCGCCCTGCGGACCAATGCACGTTTCTCAGAAGCCCCTCCAATTAGTACTCTATGGCTGTGCTATACGTATAATTGTTCGCGCATACACGCATAATGTCTATATGTTACACTAAAGCCATACAAAAGCGCATCTGCAGACGCACCGACACTAGACTTAATATATTTTCACATATACTGCATTTTTACTGCAAGAAGATTATTTGAAAAGCAGATTTTATAAACCGTCCGTTTGTAAGGCGCCTCCTCCTGAACTTATATGCCGCATTTTTCGATGTACTGAACAGGTCAAGTTTTTCAATACGTTGCTATTCACCATACTTAAAAAACAATAGCATAAATTACAACACGTCTTTAATATACGAGGGACATATACGAATGTATGCGATTGATGTCTTTTTCTTTTGGTATTGTTGGAACATCATTACTATTATTATTGGAAGGTTAGGTTATCTGAGTTTAGTCGCCATAGAAATCAAAGGAGGAGAAATCAGCATATTAATGCATTCTTGACTACTACGTTCAACGTAGTAGCCTTCAGAAGCGTCGACTAGTTTCTAGGGAATGTCACACACCTGAACTTCGTTTGTTTAATTTCAATCCAATATACATATCTCTTGACAACTTAAAAGAACGAGACTTGACCCGGTAAAAATTTGAACTTAGTGATCTTATTACTGTATATTCATATTATGTGAAACTATTAGGTACAATAGATCATCCAAATCGCAAACAGACTAAATTTCGGGGCAAACGATTATTCAGCCATTCAACGCAAACCATCCCTGTTAGGCCCTTTGTTCCACCGGAATGTAATACTGAAATGTAGAAAGCCCTACCAAGATCCCTAAAAATGTCCAGAGTGATCGTCTCAGGATTCAACTTTAACATATGAGCAGCAATCGTTTAAATATTCTTACATCCAGTTTATACACGGAAACTGATTCCAACCCCTAGCAGCTTTCCGATCAATAGACTACGCTCTACTCTGTCTACATTACACAATCCGGAAACTTTGTTTTTGAAAATGACCGAGTACTTATATTATTCTTCAAAACCTAACATACTTTAAAGCACAGAGTAAGCTTAGATATAATCTTTTATAAAGAAGACAGCGTTCTGCTTTTCTAACTAAAGCACTACTCTATGTTAATAAATAAATAATCATAGAAAGAATAATAGGTAAAAGGTATTTATATTACATTAGTAGGACTGATCCATTTGCTGTCAGGTGTTTTCTACCTTGAGTTCAGTGGATATCTTCCTCTGTCGCAAGTGCGTAGCCCTTCGAAGAGCCTGCTGATGAGCCATTATGCTGGCATGCTGTTCCCGTTCTTCCTCCGACCAAGATGTGTGCAATTTTGGTTTGGCACCTGCAGCTATGTCGTCACCGGCCGGCGTCGAAACTTCAAAAATCAGATAAATATCGTTCATTACGTTCAGTAGTTATTATATTTAGTTGTACAATGTCTACAAAAGCGCAAGTTGATATCTTCTCTCATTCGCATAGAAGTTATTTACTTTCCTCATGGAAAATTATTCGTTTCATATTCTTATCAGAAACGTTCGCTTTAGGCCCTAAAATGAACTAACTAATACTTAATTTAAAACGCACCTAATTTGCAGATCCCCCGGCCGTTTGTATACCTATCCTCCCAGCTATCAGACTATCATTCCTTCCCAGAACCCTGCTCTAATCGGAAATAACTTTCCGTTCAAGGCGCTTATTTTAAATGTGGTGCTACGCAGAACTAATTATAGAATATTGTCAATACTTATCATACGATTATGATTAAATGTTATCTGCATTAAACTTCACTACACTATTTAACTGCTTAACTTCTATAGAGGAACCGCTCAAATAGAACCCTGGACCCTGGTGGATAACATCTTGACTCACGTCACCGGTGAATAGACATACCGTCATCAGCGGATTGTCACTATTTCTTATAACGAGAAAGACCTTTGAAGCCACTCAGAATTTAAGGTATATTTCTGATAGTTACAAACAAAGTTGGCATAACGATAAAAAAAAGAAACGACTAAAAAGCACAGACGAATTACCTCAGCTACAAGATACTAAAAATCTAGAAAATGTTGATTGTTATTATTAGTACAGTTACCGGTGCTCTGCAGCTGTGCTTTAGCTTGCAACTGTGGCGCCACATCTGCTCCGACCGCCGAAGCAGCGGCGCCCTGACCGCCGACCACCCCAGCGCACATGGTCGCATTGGCGACAGGTTCCTTAGCATTGCCGCCATTGCCTGTATTGGCATTCGTCTCCATAACGACAGGCGTTTCTCTGAGTAGCTCGTCTAAAAGTTGCAAGGTTTGTGAGATTGCGCCGTGATGATCACTGGCACTCTCAATCGGCACGTACGATGAACAACCTTCAAGGTTTAGACCTTCGATGTCAAGTGACGATGCCTAGAACAATAGTAATGAAAACGATAAAGTCGTTAATCACATTAGATATAGCTCATAGTTACGCTTTTCATAGCTAAAGTGTATCTGCGTTTGTAATATTACGCATCGAATATGAGTATCGAACTTCACAGAGATTCTATATATAACCGTTTAGAGAAGTCTTACCTAATGAATGCAGTCGATCACGAATACGCCCTTAACCTTACATTTTGTTTTACTCGAGGAGTGAAAAGAAGCAGCGTCAATGTAATCACCACTCTTCAAAGTCGATCATTCATCTTCTAATCCATGGTCGCGATTATCCGCAGTCTGATGCATATGTCATTAATTCTTTTCCTCTAACTGATATGTTATGGCAAAAAATTCATATTTTTTTCCACACAGCCACACATTGGTGACAGCAGTATCATACGGTACAACGAATATTAAATACATTGCCTTGATTCGACTTCACATGTACGCGTTACCTTTGAACTGATTTATATCTTGAGGCCATACAGTGCACTTAATTTCTCCGTAAAAGTAGCATCGGCGGCATCCGGTGCTCGATATGTATCCATATGGTTCTATCTCATCCTCTAGGGCGAGCATGTTCCAGGAGCGCTTTCATAGGAAAGTATTTAGCACCGGCTTTTGCCGGAATCATAAAACAATGCGCTGTACGAAGCCTAGACCTATAAGACCGATCTCATCGCATTATCTTGCGTTTGATTACGTAGCATCTTTCGCAAATTAGAAGTATTGACCAGCTCGCTATTAACATATACTTATTAGCTTTGCAACTTCGAGGCACCCCCTAAGTGTATCGGGCAATTCGATGATGAAACTATTCCTCCAATTAGTAAACTACTAGCGTCCACGCAAACAATAATTAGGGCCTTGTTTCAATGTATTTAAGACAGATATGCAGAGTATCGTTTATTTCACCTGTATATCTGTGGCCCGCGGAGAAGGGCTCACCCAATTGTTCAATAGCGTAAGTGTGCTGTTCATTAAATCACGCGCGGTTTGAGTGTGCGGCCTGATATCTCTATCGAATATAGTAAGCATCACAAGAGCTCAAAGCACTTTTTCAAGTTTTAAGTTCCGTTTAAGTTAATACGCTCCAACTGTCGGTCGAGTTTTGTGTATTGTTAAAATCATAAGGATAAATGGCCGCTATAATATTTGCTAGTCCCTTATCAGTGGCTATGTGAGTATAAGCTAGTGCCCGAAGCCAAGGGGTTATGACTAGATCTCAATATCACTAGGGGAGCGTGATTTGTCTTAAATGACGGTCGTACGATGTAGGAGAAGAGGGCACGGATTGCCGCGGACCTGATTAGGTCAAACCAAGCAGCGATTCAGAAAGGTACCGGCTGCACAGCCCATTCGACCTCTTTCCATGTTTGTCACCATGTCTTAATAGATCTCATTTTGAAGTATCAGTTCGTAATGAACTAAAGATTACACAATTAAAATGATCGTGTGCCAATTGTAGAGACCCGCAGCTTCTGTTTTTGTTGTTCCAGTTCCGCCTTTGGTGACCTATATCGGCTTTACTTAGGAGAGGCTATTTATACTGAGATGTCGTAATCACTTCTTTTATTAATAATATTGCATTGTGAAAACGGTTCATATGTATCGTTGAATATCTATCATTATAACTTCAATAAGAAAGCAAATTCAGTTTCAGCCGAATGCACCTACGCTCCATCCTGGGGTAGGGCCTTTTAAACTACTGCATCAAAGGCAACTTCTGCGAATTGGAACGATTCAGAAAGGTCCTCGGTTTGACAATAGGGGTGACCTTGTCTGACGCAAAATACAAAAAAAAATCATGTTTAGGAAGTAAAAACAGGCATCCTTGCAATGAACTATGACATGTTGACTCGATTATTCCACTGATCTCTGCTACAATACGCTGGGCTCATATGAGCTCACCCGGTCATGCCAGGTGACAGAACGTCGTGTGCTACTGAGTGCCACCAGGATCAAGAGTCCCCTCGTATTTAACCTTACGAGCAGCGCTTAAAATAACAATGCTGAGAACTTTTTGCATTGATAAAACTGTTTCTTGATATAAATTAGTCCAGATTCTGATTTATCTGCACATCTTTGCTGATCGCACTCATTAATTCGCAGTACATTTCGTGCACTATATGTATTCTTCTCAAATAGAACCGTGCTTCGTTGCGGCAGGACGCCAACGGCATATAGTGGTACTATGTGTGTCATACACTGAGGATTTCAGTCCAGTGTCCTATTTGCTTCCTCACACCTTTCATTACCTGGTCTCCTGTTGGAGAAAGACACACCTGGTCACTGGTAGAGCAAATTGGTAAGAACGAAGATAGTGCGGAAGTGGAACATCTTCCTAAGTATTTGAGCGAAAACCCTGGTCCAAGGTTAGATATCCTGGCTAGGGAAACAGGAATAACAGGAACATATTCAAAGCGATGCAATTCCTTGTATGGAGTATGGAAACAATCAGAAAGCCTCAATTCTAATCACAATACAGATTATATCGAAACGAATCTGTACCATTACTCGAGCAACATTTATACACGGAAGGTCATTGTAGTTGGTATAGGACGAGATGCGATATTGGATGATCTGTCTTAAGAACACGTAAATCATCTATCAACGCATTGTTACATGATAAATGTGATGAAACACAAAAGAAGGCCAGCCAGTTATATCGATAGATGATATTGTTTTATGCCAGCGAATGAAAAATGCGGTAGTCTTCTTAGTCCTGCGGGCCTAATCAATTGCTGTCTATATTGAAATAGTAATAATGGTGCATTTTTTGGGAAACCAACATGTAGTGTCAATGTTCGTCAGCTTATTCGCCGGCAGGAATTAAACTCCTTATTTACTCTTTATTCTACCCGATACAAACTGTTCTCTCTTTAAAAACATGTTCTTTGTGCCTACGGCAATCGTACAGTTGCCAAATTGTGGGTCTTCGTTGTTAAAATGCCTGTTACGGTCTAGCGTATTATTTATGCGCGCTGTTGTTGCAATTCGCAGTTTCAATAGAGGGGAAGATTTATCTTAAGCTCGAAGCGTATACGGTTACCTCTTTTGTCTTATATACATTTGAATCTATCATGGAATTTTAGTGCCAGCGAATATGTATAAAAGGTGTTGAACAAACGCCTACACAATTCTAATAACTATAACTCCAGCTTTAATTGGCATATGATAAATATTGAAATTGTACAAGAATCTACATAAAATATATAACTTCTCCCGTATGTTGAAAATGATTATTGTCCTGGTTAATACACTATGATAACGGCAGGCTGTTGGCCTATAAACTTTAACGACGTTTAATTGTAGCGCACGTGCCCTCGGATTTTAACGGAAAACTTTATTTTTAAGATGTCTCCTTAAGAAAAAGCCCGATGGTATCAGGTCTGGAAAACAGGCAGGGTACTCCATAAGACCTACTCATTTAATCTACTTGTGTGGAAAATTCTCATCAAGATATGTTTTTACATTAAGGCGACGGTTGACGGATGCCCCGTCTCGTTAGAATTGAGTGTGTCTTTCCCGCGTTAGTACAACAGATTTAGCTTGCAACGTCCTAAAATGCAATAAATGTTTGATGCCAAGCTCACGATTTGATTGGCTCACAGACCGTTGGGTTGCTTCGTTGTGCTCTTTCTCGGCTAGTAGAGTTTGGTTATTTTTTCGGTATGAACATCCTAAGCAGTTCCAGCCGTTTCATTCTGAGTCACACTGTTAGATGCGCCAAAAATTTCCTGCGATATCGTTTTTTATTTCTGTTACTTTTTTTACACGCTCAATGGCATGATAAAGTAAAATTTCTGTGTTCAAAAATTAATCTTGGTGCATTTATTATGCCGAATTAATTACACCCTAAAAAAAATCTTCAAAATGTTCTGATTCGTTGAACAGTGTGCGGAGACGACTCCTTGTAATAGTTCGCAGTATCCATATATAGCAATGTGTGAAAGGGTTCTGCTCCCCTTACGTCCACTTGCTAAGGACTAGAAAATTTTGCATAAATTAAATTATTGAGTGTTATCTAAATCACTCATTATACTATGGCTTTTATGGACATCTCGAGTGAATTAGGGCAAAATATTGAAGAGGAGGGGATGGGGACTGAATGGAAACCTAGTATAATATCAGCACTATATATCATTTCGTGTAGACAAAATCAATTTCATTAAAAAAGAGTCTTATTACTCGACTAGGCGTCAATCATCACTCTAGTAACTAAACCCGTTCCTAAATGAAAACCTTCCCCCTGACGAGAAATAAGGGAGTTCCATTGGACCACTTATTATACAATTAAATGCTGTGTTTCTATTTCACTTTCCAGTTTATCTTCGCTTGACGAATAGATTTTGAAAGTGTTTGATCCAGTTTCGGTGTCGATAGTCTTTGCGAAGGAATTTCACATCCACCACCTGTATGCGAGGAAATTTCGATAACGATCACTTTTTTCAAATCTCTAAGGAATAATACAAAAGACGTAAAACGTCATGGGAGATAGAAAAAAAAAACTGATAGATGTATTTTATGCACCATATATTTATATGCCGTGCACATATTCAAAATGCATGCTGTTTATCACCTTAAGGCCATTCGATTTCGTGAACTATCCGCCTAACCCTGTACTCGAAAGATACTAACCTTTAAGTGAAACGCTGCTCCCCTTGCTTACAGAGTTTATGACAGAATTCACTGACGAGAAAGGTTCAAATTGCCTGCATAGATGATTTACTGGGGTGCTTATTTAGGTTTTTTGTTGAAGCCTTTGCATGAAGCCGTCGGTGATTGCAAAAAAACTATAAAATACGTACGGTAATTGCTCCTCCCGCAAACGGGCTTGAATATGTTACTAAATTTTATAACGGCTTGGTGATAAAGTAAAAGAGACAGAATAGTAACCGCCCCTGGTGGCATAAGGCGAAAGATACGTGACGACGTCGTTCTCTTTTTAGGACACACCATGAAAGCTACAGGAACATGAGTATTGGCTAACAAAATCGAAAGTGTCTGCATTCAATTTAGGCGTCAATTTACAGCCCGTTTTTCACAGTATTCACAACACGCAGTAAACACAGTTTTATTAAAAGCATTCGTTAAAAGGGTTTCGTCTTGTTTGTTGTCCAGCATTACTATATACACATAGAAAGCCGTTCTAAAGCTGCCAAAGTCAATCTTGATGGACATCTTGGTCATGTTTAGCATAAAGTACTAATTCGGTAGGATTCGTAGGCGACTTAAATTATTAACTTAAACTATTAAGTATTAACTTAAATGTGCTTTTATTATTGTATGGCTTCAGGTATAAGTTTTTATTTGATTTTGAAGTGTCACTGACTAGAGCAGATTTTATATTTTAGGTGTCTTTTGTGGCCTGGCAATTATGGTAGTGAGACCAAGTTAAATGCATCCTAACTTCTATGGGAACAGAATCCTTCGCAGATTACTTAATTAAGCAATCAACTATGATGAGATATATAACAAGGATTACGTTATTTCAGCATAATGATTATTATGCTCCTTGATTTCCAAAAATGTATTTACTTTGGTGAAATGGCTCGTCGTTCACCTTCGACGTTGGCAAACATACAAAATTAAAGTGCAATTCCATAGTCTCGAACCTAAATATACCCCCCTATACATAGTTTTATATATTAGTGCAAGCGCCAAGCTTTAGAATAGATTAAAATACAAAAGAGCCGAATTGACAATTTAACAGTTTTTTAAGTGAATAAGAACAGACAAGCAAAACTATAGAAGCCCTGCATATATATAATATAGATACATGAAAGCTTATCAAAGAGTATCATTTTGCATGTCGGCTTGCAATCCAGTGCACAGTATGCGAGTGAACCTTCAACAGAGGTAAGGTAAAAGCAATTCTACTTAGGTAAGTATATAACTGAGAGGTTATCCCACCGCTTACCGATATTCTGCTCTGAATGGCTGCCACCCATTCGTCAGCCTCATGTCGTGTTTGAGCGGCAAGTTGCAGCTGACTGGGGGTGTTCTGGGGCCGAAGAGGGATGATAGGATCAAAGAAACCTTGTGGCCCTGACGTTCCCTGAAGGTTTCCGAGAGAACCCGTGGAGGCTGTTGGGGTGCGACTTGGCCGCGGAACTGCCAGTGCTTCTCGTCGGGCTATCGGATTCTGTAATTAAAGCAGTACCAACATCAGTAAAAGTAGAATTACGAACTTGCCGTATAATAGAATAACATAGGTAAATAGATGTATTCTATAAGAATACGTTAATAAACAGCTTACGACTCGATGTAGAGGAAATACAACCAAGCAGCGTAGCGTTCGCATCCCAATGGAGTTATTCTGCGAATTTCGCTGCTTATAACGTCATAGCCCATTCATCGTTATAAGACTGATCAACTCGTACGATCACAAATCATTTTTATGTACTGTACAATGAACAGCGTGTGTACGTTAAATAACTTGAATAAGGGCCTTCTATTCGATGATCGAATCAATTTCCTAAACTTAATTTTTGAGATGATAGCGTTGCAACAAGCAGAGCGCTATAGTCGTGTCAGCTCGAAACAGTTTATACCAATAATACACCATCTCTTGAAGTGAACAAGTTAGACGGACCTGCTGTCAACACTTTGCTAATCAATAAGGCATACAAATTTGGATCTTACATTGGGTTCTTATGCACGACTAAAGATGCTTTTGTAATAGCCGGACACAATTTTGGCGGCAGGGTGGATTCATGTTCGTCACGATATCCACAAAATGCGTCAGCTCAGTGTTTACAATAACGCGCATCCAATATCTATTTTTTTTTTAATTATTTCAAGCTACAGCGGTCCCTCTGAAAGGGCAAGTTCAGTTTGCCTCTGTGTGGCAATGACACGACAATCGTAGCTTAAGTCACTAGGCGGAGTACAACGATAACACGCGACGCTTTGCATCATGAGTTTCTTCTTATTTGGAGTTAAAGGCGTATGCTATATAAAAAGATCCTATGGCTTAGCAACTGCATTGAGCCTGTCTTCAGTAGTGGTCGACAATCTACGATTCAGTTTATTACGATATTTATTTTACTAAAAATGTTCGATAATTTCGAGTTTCAATACTCGTGATGGCGTTGCGTCTACGACATCACATTCGTTTCGATTCTAAATTCGTACAAAAGAGATTTTTTTCGATAAGAGCCTTCATTTCATTCAAGACATTCGTAGACGATCTATATTTATAAACTACGTAGCAAAAGTAGGTCGCGAATCAGACCTTTAAACGTAAATATACACTCGCAACAGCAGAGACTCGTGAGACATTCTAAACCACTTCAGACCTTCCTAGCCACCATTACTAATTCGTGTTAATAGCTTAGTTCGAACATCCGTTATTAAAGATTTCCTCAAAAGGTCGCTTTCTTCGGCATCTTTTACTAATCAGGTCGCAGTAAGTGAGCCTGAATTGGCGTTCTTCTAATAGTACCTAAGAGAACGGTTGCTAAGGCAGAAGACCTATTTCTTTTGTGTATTTACCTTATACTCAACATAGTGTACGACCTATTTCTTAACGTCTTCATAAATTGGCTGCTGCAAACATTTTATTAGGTGACAGGTTTCGTAAAAACATAAAATTGGACCCATGCTGCGTCCAATTAATGATCTGTGACGATTAGACACTTACTTAGGTTTGTATATGCGTGTATCTGACGCCCCATCTTCGAGCATCCTGGAATCAGATATATGGAATACCTGCAGACGATTTGGGAGTGACAGCTAGAATTGCGCTCTCCAAATGCGTTGCAATTCTAAACTCCCGGAACGAGCTCTATTTGCTAGCACTGAAGCTCTTCAGGATCGCGTACCATTCCCTACTCTCTTACAGAAGCTTATTGCTCGTGGCGCAATGAAGACCAACGTGAGCAAACTACCGGAGTGAACTATAATGATATTTTCAATGGTCAGACCTAACAACTTCAAGCTAATATTAGGAACTCAATTAATCCACGAGAAACTTAACGGGGCTAAGGTTAACAGAGCAACAGTGCAACCCTGTGGCTGATTAAACGAAGGGTGATGGTTGAAGATACTCTTCATTGTTAGACAAACGTATGACCATAAAAGAGTTCTGTCAATTTTATGAATATAGAAGCTTTTCAATTCAATTAAACTAGATTTTTTTTGCTTTAGACTAAAGATCTTCCTTACTGTCTATTGTCAAGCCTTTTGCTTTTATATACCTCAGCTACATTGACGACGTACATGCTTCGATTAATATGTGTCCCTTTTGAAAGGTTTATGTACAAACGAAAACAACGAAGACGGTAGATGGTCCAACGTATTAGGTTAACGTACCAAACACTAACCGCATAAATGAAAATGACGCTATCTTCTAGCGATGGGGCATTTTGCGGCACTTTTTCGTATTCAAGATGCACTTGTCTTTTCCGAAATCTGAGATTTCCCATTCGGATAAAGTCATTTAAAATTTTAGCCAACAGATTACTATGAGTTGCGATACAAATCGAATAATTCACAGATATCTGTTTCATCTTGACCGCCGATTGTTTTCGATAACGAAAGACCCCGAAGCGCAAATTTTGAAAACGAATTTCATAGAGAAACTCTAGAGAAAGTGAATGGTGAATCTCAAAGGCGGTAAATGTTAACACTCTCGTTCGCGTGTAGAAAATACAATGCCTGTGTGGCCTAATGGATGCCACACGATCTGAGCGAGAATTAGTTGCAGGGACGTTCAATTCCCTTTGCCATCACATTACAATAGTGAGCTAATTTCGATTTGTGATCTAAGATGAATTCATCACATCGATAGACAACTGAACCGGCGGCATATCATCCACAGAGCTGCAACAGTGTATGGGGTCTGTTTGGTGGCTAGATTTTGTGTACGACAGTTCTATGAGTACTGGCTCATCGATTAATAATTAGAGTGAATGATGAAAAAACCAATAAATAAATTAACTAGCCAACATTAGTAGGCAAAGATAAAGCAGTCCTACAGTACGACAACGCTCGAATTCATGCAGCAAGAATGGCGGTAGCAAAAACGCACCGACTACCATTTCATTCTTCAGTCTTCCGACAACATCTTAATAGTAACTTTATTCAAACTTCAACATATATCGAAATCGCTTTTCGGGCTTCCTTGACAGATAGGTGAATAAATTACAGCAGGCAACCTAATAATAATGATGCATACCTCGATTCAAAATGAAACAACTAAGTTTATAAAAAGTTCAAATAGTTCAGGTTCATTATGTGACGTTTCAAGTTAATGATTAAAAATGTATACATTGAAATGACAATACGAAAGACAATTGCAGAATCATGTTCCAAAGCACAGTTTTAGAACATTCGCTCCGATATAAAGATTTGCCAATGCACCTATGCAGGCTAATACGTAATATTCTTTAGCAAAGTAGAGACCAGGATTTATCTCTACATGAAGATTAGATATTAACAGGTTCGTAGGCGTGGATTATATAGGTGATTTGATTGCTTGAATAATTTGCACGTTTTTGTAATTACTAAGATTTTATTATTACTACAAATTCACTCAATATAATCGCGACTTCGTAAATCCAAATCAACGAAGGCATTGTCTGATTTAAATGTTAATACTTACGCTCTGAAACTACCACCCACAATCTATTTGGCAACCATATTCCAAAGCACATTCAGGGATAGCGTGCTATTCTAAAATGAACACGCTCTTTAAGAATGTTCTTGATTTTTTTCAATATGTTTAGTCCTGTTAAACCTAAAACTTGGACCCATACCTCTACAATTATTAAGAAATATGATTATCTGACGAAGAATAGCATCCGTTTGGGGCAAGTAAACTTCAGCCTTGAACTTCAGTGTGAATGCCCCGTCAATTCTTTATGGCGCTCTAATTAAACGATTTAGTGCTCATGATAAATGATCGTAGAACTTTAATCACCGATGTTCCAATCTTATGACTTTTTTAGCTTTGAAATGAACGCAAATTAAGGATGGGCATTAGACATTCCGTTCTTAGATAAAGAACAGGGTCTATATGATTAGTGCTTTCCCTCCAATTTGAGTCTTGTAAATATAATAAATGCCCAACATAGAAAATTACGAGACAGATTACCTCATTTTATAAGGAGACCGTTACCAGTATGGCAGAGGTGATCTTATTTGAATGTGTATAATTTTCTTTCTTTGGGAATTTTAAACTAGTTTCTTTTGTAAATTTGTCCACGGCCTTTTTTTTGTTTGTAGAAAGCCCCTATAATACCATGTGGCAAGCCCGAAACTAGAACTGCAAATTTCGCTAAAGGTACATCGAACATATCACATTTCGGATGAATGGATTATTATTGATGCCCGCGCCAATTTGAAATGTGAAGAAGTTGTAAACAACCGTAAAGCATAAAAAGCTCAACATGAAATAGTTTATGGTGAAATCGGAACATTGCGAAAAGAAGGAGCGTCGAGTGCACCACTGATTGGTAATACCGGAGCTAAACATCCCGTCAGAGGTCGCTTTTATTTTTTTGAAAGAGATTAGAGAAGAGCGTGGGTGGCTTCCATAAAATCTACTCAAGCTAGGCTTATCACAGCAAGCAACCTGTTGTTTCATCAAGTCCACCACCATGAATTCTACCAGTAAAAATAGAATAGAAAACAGCCACATCTTCGGTGCTCCAGGTGAAAATAGTTCGTGATATTTAAATCCAATGGGAATTCTACTTTTGTCATACGCTGACGGTTTGGAGAACGCTAATGATTTTCTATCATTTTTCGCTTCTCTAAAGCACAGTGACGAAAAAACGACGGGCCAAGAATAGGAAATGGAACATTCGATCAGTAAACTGAGTTTATCTACCTGGCAGTGTCAACCAGCTAATTTATTTAACTAGCCTCTTTATTCATGATGGATAGCCGTAAAGGGGAATCTACGAGCATACGAGCCTTTGCCGAATACAAAACGAGTAGTTCTGTTACTGAGAAACCTATGCTGTCGTCTTCCTTTCTACCAAGCAGATTCTGTAGTCGAGAGCGTAATTCATAATTTTCTATATGACATCTACAAGGCTAATTCTCCGTTCACCGGTTAGGTGGTTCAAATGTGAAGCTGAAGCCAATGACCACGAAAAGAATCCCAGCTTATTGTTGAACCAGCCTAACGCTAACGGTACGTTCTTACAGTGTTTGCGCTAAATAAAGCCTTTGGTTGACCACAAAGTTTGGAGTCTATGCAGTTCATTGTTACGCGATTTTCTTAAGCCGATTGATTTTCTCTTATCGAGCCAATGCAACAAAGCTTACGTATATATGCCCACACTTTCGTGGCAAGTCTTAAGCTCTTATATATGTATTTATACATCTATTATACAATAATAGATGGATTATATGTTGTGTCGTAATATAGGACAAATAAGCCAATGGAGTAATTACAGTCCTAACTTTCCGCAAGCCTTCCAAGCATGAGTAGAACGAATGGTGATTCCGCTGAAAGCAAAGGGAAAGGGAACTACATAGTGAAGTTAGTAACTGCGAAGACGATTCTTCTATTGCACTTATTTGTCTACCCACCTGATAATCCCTGCCTCCATTGACTATGGTGAAACTGTGCAGTCTGCGGAGAAAGTACGACCGCTGCTACTGTTATTGCCGTTGGCTAAACTTTTAAAGTGCATTCAGGTAGTTAACCTGGCGAGCCACTGTAGCGTGCAGTTTCCTCTTTCGGTAGATTAGTCTGTTACCCGGTTTTTTCTTGGACGTTTGTCACTTCGCAACACTTTTCAGCGTCGTCGTAGTCATTACGTTGCAGTTCTATGATAGCTAAATGCGTCTCTTCTAGGCCTACAATGTTCTTATGTTTCAACCGCAGGCCTATCTGTTCATGGTCTGAAGCCCTTGCCTGATCTGGTGACCCACACAAATGACCGTACACTTATGTTCGTCCTTTTTGGTCGCGTCTAACTTGAACAATAACAGCAACGACAGAAAAAAGAACTCCTGTTATTGCTACCGCATGCAAATGAGTGCAGGTATTTCTGCGTTTAGGCACCTTCTAACCGCGCGACATAGCGTATCCATTTTTGCTTCCGCTCCTGCTATAGCTACTCGTCGGGGATACCGCTGAAACTACTGTTTCCGTTGATATTAATGCTGTTATGGCTTACTACTGCTTTCGCCGCTGTTTTCGATAGACTCGTCACTTTCGTCTTCATCGCTGCTACTGCTGCTGTTGTTGGTTCTTCGTCCCGTTATTGTTTTTGTTGTACAATAGATAATAATGGTGGTGCCAGCTTAACAGGTGGCCAGGAAACATCGTTGAGGAGGACGTGTTGTTTTCCGTCGCCACCGGAAGCCACCGGAAGCCACCGGCGGGAAACCGCGAGGCTGAGCGCGCGCTATTACGCTCGCACCTCGCATCATATCCGGCGGTCTTCATCGTAGTAACAGCAATCTAAGTCTGAGTTGCAACCGCTGCTGCCACCGTCGTCGCTGCAGTCGCTTTTGTTGAACTGAAGTAACCTTCTCATAATTCCGCAGTCGACAACTCGACAGGTACGGAAACGTCTACCTACGAATGCTTACAAATACAACTACTGTTCCACTATTCCACTTCGTGTTATTATTTCCATTTTGACAACTTCGGTAAGTTAGGGTACTTCTACGACTGGTCCACTACGACTGCTCTCCTAACTACAAGAAATTCTACAGTTCCTGTTGCAACTACTTTTGTTAATGTAAACCGCAAGACAAACAACGGACGGACGGTCGTCAAGTTAGCGAGTCGGCGGGCCGGCGTTCCCGTTCGGCAAGCGACCATCATCCATTGGCACTATGACCACAATTACTATTACAGCTTCCACTGCTGCGGTAACGGTAACAGCCTCTCATCTGCTACCGAAAGGGATGTTGCAACAATACATCCTGTGGACACGCTACTGGACCTGGCTGGCCTCCTGCTGCTGCTAAGTTGACCGTACTAAATATGTGGAAGAGGCGTCTGAATGTCGGTGGCTGGGTAGTTCAGATAGAGACAGAGGTGGTTCTGGGTTAGTTTGCACCCACACCGGCCCTTCGAAAACTATCGGAGCAGAGCGCAGGCCAAATATAGCAAACGGCCGACGTTCGTTTGCTGTCGTTCAAATTTAGCGGTGCTCTGCACTGGGGACAGGACAAAAGTGTCAATGGCTGTGCTAGTCAATGGGGATACAGTCAATGCGAGTGTTGTGGGAAACGCGGGCCACGGGAAAGGGCTGGCCTGCGGTGGTGGCGGCGGCGGCGGCGACAGCAGCAGCAGCGCCTGGGAAGGCCGCGGAAAAAGCCTACCACGAGTGGAGAGGGAGTTGAGGAAGAATCTACGTGAAGAAGCGATCCCCCGCCCCAACCCCAGAAATGATCGTAGCGGCATACCTTCCAAAGTCCCCGCGATTGTGCTGCCGCCGTCCGACGACCCAGTCTGCTTGCCAGCTGTCCCGCCTGCACTATGTTTCACCTTGGTTCTAGCTTTGGAATTGAAACAGGGTCTTGCTGTGAACAGAATAGAGAGAAAACTTTTTCGTTGCTGCGACGGCAAATATGAACCCCACTTCGAGTCCGCCCACAGAATGCCGGCAAATGGGGAAAATGAGATTATAGCTACTCTTTGTTAACCTGCCTGCTGATCCGCTGAGAATAACTAGGTCTATTGGGAAGTGAGACGGAGAAAACTGGCAACTTGTGTCTTGTACTTCCACAATTTTCAACTATATAAATAATGCCGAACTGCGCTATTTCCAATTTAGCGATGTGTTGATTTATTTGCAAAGATCAGAAAACCTATATTCAGATGTCTATCGTATTCAGATGTATATCGTATTAATTTTGTCCACAGCGTATTTACAACGATAGCCCCTAGCGCAGCTGTTCGTTAGATACGACGTTGACATTCGAAAACGATACGCTTCTTCTGTTGCTTACGTTAAGCTGTTATATCGACTGGCTGGTATAGAAATTTGTGAAATGAAAAGAATCAATATAATTAGCTCCTTTTTTCTATGATTACATCAATTTATCTATATTCTCATTGTTCATTCTGCTCCCTGTTGGTGTCTAACTCGTATCAGCTGATTAATATCATTCGTTTTATATATTAAACTTCGCTTGTTGTGAACTGCACGGAAGCCTCATCGTGAACATAAGCACCCACCGACAGGACGTTGGATGGCCGAAGTGGAACCAGACTGTCAATCAGATGTCCTGCAGTAACATCGATTGCTTTATATATCACGATATCTTCTTGGGTAGTTTTATTCGAATTTCGTAGATTATTCACGAACTCCTGATGATTTACTCGAGTATATTTTGATGATGCAAAATTAATGCAATGAGCGGTAAATATGTTGCTCCTTTTAAAACCATCAAATTGGAATAACGGCTAAATCTCTCCTAAACGATTCTCCATAATAAAAAAGGATGCATTTTTTAGTACCGTTGAGGGCTTATCTTCGATTGGCTCTAATGGCTTACAAAGATAAAATGCGACATTCGCATTTATCAAAACTATTCTAGAGAACATAAACAAGCTATGATAGATAGAAAAAAAGACGCATGAAAAATTCACTTACAATAACAGCAAAGGGAAAGAGCTGTTGGTCGGGCATTTGGGCCTTAAACTGGCAAGGGCTTTGCAGGCGCACCTGGGTCAGCGTGGAGATGTTCACTGAGATGCCAGGCAGGGGATCGAGTATATTGTGGTACGCGTCCAAGTGTTTCGAATACACCGCCACATACAACCGGAACCATTCGTAGTCGTCCGAAAGAACGAATAAGAAGCCGTCCTAAAGCCAAATCAAATGCGTATCACATAAACCTCCTAACCAGAAAGAGGTCTGCCCAAATACACAGGTTTCGTCACCCATAATGCTAAATTGAGAGAAAGCTTAATTTTTGTACGTTTCTCTAGGTGGCTAAGAAATGTTCTAATCATGCATATTTGAGTTGAGATAAATATTGTTATGAAATAAAATTTCTTAAACCTTAAGTGGCAGCTCCTTTCGGTACGTATGAGAGGACGGCAGATCTGTGAGGGAATCTCTGGATTCGGTAAATTCGTACTCCATCTCCTCCGTGCATTCTTCAATGAAGCTTAGCTGAGATGCGTCGAATGCAAGGTCGCCTCCACTGGACACTCGCTTGCAGATAGGTTCGTCCTCCGCACCAGTTAACAACATCATTGTCGTGGTTGTAGCCAGCCCGGTGTCGTCAACCTCCGCAACTAGCGAAGACTCTCCTGTAGGAGGCAGAAACAGCAAAGAATACGACTTCAAGTAATTGGGTAAATTGCGCGCCTGGTTTGTATAACATAACGAACAAGTCTCTACCTGGTGCGCCAGTGAGCGTGCAAATGGTTCTTTTTACCAGCAAGCATTCATACTGTCACCGGTAGCGGCAGAACTTCAATGTACTATTGAGTCCGAAGGTGCTCTTACATTGTCACTTTAAAACAATGTGCAATCAGCGTTACTAAATAAGTAACTGAAAGATAAAGAGCACGGTTCGATAGAACTTTTCCGATGATAAATAAAAATACGAACTTAGCGGTCTGGTGGCCTTTAGGCATCATGAGGCAGAAGCGACAGTACCTCTACAAATATCGTGACCAAACAAAGGCTGTAGTATACCGGCTCGAAAAAATTATGTAAAATCACAACCTGAAAAAATTTGATTTAATCAAGTTTCGACATTTCGTTAGAATCAAATGATGAACTGGCAGATCTCGTCGTCCCTGAGGTTTAAAACGATTTACTTATTTTCATTTCCTAACTATCGGTTTCCGTCAAAAGTGGCGGCATCTTGTGGTTCTTTTAGAAACGAATGCTGTTCGCCAAACTGGAAGCTCTTGTTGTTTTGAAGATAAAGATCTAGCAATTAAAGGTAAATCAATGTTAATTTTAATGAAGAATTACTTAGCTATTCCAAGTCCACTTAGCTGACTCTCATCGACTTAACGGAGGTCATTCATGGTATAATCTCGACGCCAGCGTTGTCGACAATTTCGAATAGGGAACGTATTTTCAATCAATTTGTTTGCATTTCCATTTCAATGACTCTCCCATGTCAAAGAGTTTGCAGATGACACAACCCTTCCACTCGAAGCTAACAGGGACAGAAGAACAATTACCGGAATTAATACTGAGCGTAAGTGAAACCCAACTGGCCGTTACCCAGTCCTCTCAGTGTATCGAAGACGGCAAAATCGTCCTGGATAATTCATCCTCAGTCTTCTGATGGTTAGCAGGTGTTTAGTGTCTGCCACTGCAGGAAAAAATATAGCGAACGGACAGTTAGACAAAGGCGGCAATTGCATGTTTGTTCTTGTCAGCGTTTATTTATCGTCATCTTTTGTTGGATCTTCTTTCGTAGAGAAGCGTTAGGTCGTTCAAAAGTCGCTGCAGATTAAGCTATGGAAACTTTTGTTGATGAGGTTGAAAGTGTTAAAGCCACAACTCACTTTATGGCGTTGATTGCAGTGATAGCCAACGTCTTGAAATGTTTGTTTATGATGGGTATTATAATTGATTGGGTCTGGGTCACTAAAGCTGAAACTCTATTTTACGATAATTACCCAATAAGGGCAAAATAAAAAAATAACATTTTATTGTTACCAGTCTGCTGAGTTTCAAAGCGAGTTTTGAAGACGGGTGCTTCCTCATGAGTTACGACAAATACAGCCTGTATTCCAAATAAATAAAAATTGTGACTCTATCGACGAGCCATAAGAAAACGCTGTATTCTATAGCAACATGTCATATAATAACATAAGATAAGTTATATTTGTAAAACAAATTATATATCGAGGAAGATTATTTAATTAGCGAATCGAATATTTTATAAACGTAAATATAAAAAAGTTACGAGTAATATAACACGCAGTACTTCAAACGAAGAAACAAATACAGATCAAGGATACATCGATAATAAGTATCCTTATATAATTCAAAGAAGATTTGAGTCAGACTAATTATGTTACCTAATTAAGCTGCTAGGTATGGATAGATTAGGAACGAGAACGTTTATGTAGTCGATAGGGTATCACGTTAAAGATAGATATACTTTTCCAAAAACATTAGGATCGAATAAAGTTTACCAATTTACCATTGCTCGTAACTCGGCCACATTTAGCAAATTCAGGTAATAGTTAAGGAATGGCTAATGATAAAAAAAGAATATCTCTCATGTATAAAATGAGTCCAATTTACAGATTTTTCACGGTTTCACATAAGAATGTTTATCGAACCATGTTAGTAAATGAGGCCTGATATGGCTTTCGACGATCGTTATGCTTACGCCAAGCGTGAATTCGACTTTATTTTAAAAATCAGTTAGATATCATCTATGCACCATTTGCAAATCAATTCTGAAATTAAATATGAGATAGAATTAAATTTCAACGATATGGCTGATTTGACATCTATGTGTTGCACATACAAAAGAAACCAAAGACAAACTTCCTATTTTTCGAGATGTATTTGCCTCTAGCTAGCTAGCTTTCGCTGCAAAAACAAGCGACGAATTCTGCTTGATTAGATGGATCTGTTTCAAGGCATCTGACCTGAGTAGCCTGAGAACTTGAAGTTGCAGGTCTTTTTGTGAAATCAATGTAACTTCATGACGTGTACAGTTGTTCAAAAAAAAAAAGACAACTGATACATTGTCGTCGCGCAATTCCTATCAGACTCTTACTGCTTTGAAGTTCAACGCAGATTTCTTATCTACCTTAAAATCTAGTTTCTCCTACAATTACCGCACAACAGCTTCGCTCCAACAACTTTGAAAGGGGCAAATACGCATGTCGCAATGAAGTTTTATCAAGAGACAAAGTTCTCAGATTTTTGTGAACAGTATCAGGCTGGCCGCTACACTGGATGACTAATTATGATTGGATCTGTATGTAAGACAACAGGAAAACGTTGCTAGACTAGTTTAGTCCTAATGTCTAAGGCCGAAGTTCTTCCTAAATAACACAGATCTCTCATTACACTAGTTAGAGTTACTCGGCGTGTCAATCGCAGCTCATATTTAAATATTACTTAGGCACTGGGTTAAAAATGGTTCAATACAGAACTGGGTGTATGAAAACCTAAATAACAAAAAAAACTCTTCGAAGCAATCGGATACGGGAAATTCAGATTCAAATTGTTGGGATTTCATTTGTCCTACAGAGAACCCAATTGATTCGTTCTTCAGATCCAACTGGATAAGGGAGAAAGCTACCTATCTAATTCATCTCGATTAAATCGTACATATTATTATAGTATATCGTATAGAACTTTTTAGCCTCTGTGAAAAACGTAAACACCAAAAGCATTGCATCTGACAGCCTTGGTAACAAGTAATTTAGAAGGACTCTTCTACATACGGAAGCACAAAAAGGACTTTAGGCCAACCAGAGAGCTTAGTCATACACGGTTCATCTATTTATATCTGTAACAATAATAAAGTGTCCCATTTGGCCTAAAATGGCAGTAATGACTTGGTGTTCTTTTGCATAAACAATTTCCTTGCGGTTCTTTCGTCTACGTGTGCCTTATCTTTCGAAAGTCTAGAATAGTAGGAATATTTGCATTGTTTTGAAGAATCATCACTAATGGGCATCCATGATGACGTTCTGGCTGTTCGGTCCGTGATCCGTTCGTATATAACAAATTAATATCAATTTTTCAAGAAATGCAAGACCAATTTTTACAAAATCGGCCAAATTTGAAAGTTAAACTAGTGAATTTATAAATGCTTATCAAGTTAATATCAATTAAACACATGTTTGTTGCTTCCATGCAGCAGATCCAGATCTGGTAGCACCGTTCGATTCTACGTGTTCAATTCTCCATGAGAGAGACTTGGGCTAGTATTATCTGATTTTTAGGAAATCACACGAAATCACTACGAGAAATGGCATCAGTAGACATTTAGAATGGATCAGTTAGCTGGTTTGAATGTCTTCGTCGCTGATCAGTTACGTAGAATCGGCGTACGTATATCGTAATCAGCTGTAAATGACAAACGTGTCTTCGCATCAACTCAAGCTTCTGTCTTATAGAAGATACAAAAATAAGCTATTACCTTGTACTTTACCTTAAAATTCAAGCGATTTCGCAAATATTGGTTCCAGGTTAATTTTCTCGATAGGACAGGCGCTACACCGATTTGCCAGAACATGGTTGTGCAGATTCCCACCAACGTCTATATGTGATAAGTGAATGCGTGCTGCAAATCCCGACTTGGTCTATCTAATAATTTGTCTCGTGAGGAGAAAATCCCCATAAAATTGCGAGTGTAATAACGAGATACTAGCTACTCGTTCTATGGATACGTTCCGTTACGTACCACCATTAAGTTGTCTATGCAACAAAGTGTCTCTCTTTTATCTTATTTACTTAGAAGAACTGAGAAACGTAAAGCGTGTGCTTGTCAGATATAGAAGACACTGAAAATATTGAACTCCAAGTTTCATGGCCCACTAATTTCGCGGGGCCGGTTCCTGTCAGAAAAAAAATTGTTGTATCGTATTATTTGTTTTCGCGACCATGCCGCATTCTGTGTTCATAAAAACATTAGTGAAGCTTTCGTTGGCAAATCTTTTATACCTGTAGGGTAACTGGCGTTCAATGAAAAGTATTTGTATCCAAAATGATAATTTCTAACAATAGCCTTATACTTACTTGAA